TTTCCCTTGTAGCTGGTTTCCTACAACAGTGCTTCACATGAACAGGGATATTTTGTCTCTTTTGTCTATTCTGCTTATTGCACCAAAAAAAAAAAAAAAAACCAAGAAAATGTGCCTGCACATCCAGGCTACACACACACACACACACACACATTAATCCATGTTCAAATCTTGTTAAAGAGAGCACTCCCTGGAATGTTAGAAACTGTTCCCAGTTCTGCACCTTGTGCCACAAGGCCAATCCTCCCACACCTGAACACAGATGCTAACTCCATGGAAGGGTCTTGTGGAGCCTTCATCATCTACTGTGATCATTGAAACCCAGTTCCTGAGGCAGAGATCTCCACATCCCCTTCTGTGTAGCATTGAGACATCATCTGTGGTCATCTCCTCAGTATAATCAAGTTTCTGTCAGATGGTCAGGGTCCTTCTCCTACACTGTCTGACATCAGAGTTCATCTGCCATCATGAAAAGATGGGGCTTCTAGAGCTTGAGCCCACCACTAACATATATGTGACGTCCGGGTCCCAGCAACCTTCAAACTCTTGCAAGAAAATGTAGGAAATACCCTGCAAGACCTAGGAGTAGGTCCCGACTTTCTAAGAAAGGACACCAAAAGCAATAACAGTTGAGAACAGAATAAACAAATGGGACCTCATCAAACTAAGAAGCTTCTGTACAGCAAGGGAAACAATCAACAAAGTAAAAAAGCAACCCACAGAGTGGGAGAAGATCTTTGCACACGATATAGGCGATAGGGGGCTAATTTCCAGGATATACAAAGAACTTCAAAACAACCAAAAAACTAAAGCAAACAAACCACTCAAGAAATGGGCACAGGAAATGGGCAAACATTTCACAAAGGAACAAGTCCAAATGGCAAACAAACATATGAAAAAATGTTCCAGCTCCCTAGCAATAAGGGAAATCCAAATTAAAACATCGATGAGGTACCACCTAACACCAGTAAGATTGGCCCACATAAACAAGAACACCAACGAGACTTGCTGGCGAGGATGCGGGGAAAAGGGAACCCTACTCCACTGCTGGTGGAGCTGCAAATTGGTAAAGCCTTTATGGAAATCAGTCTGGAGAACACTCAAACAACTCAAAATCTGCATACCATATGACCCAGCAATAGCACTCCTAGGAATATATCCAAAACACCTGTTCCACGACAAACCAACATGCATCCCTATGTTCATTGCAGCACAATCAGTAATTGCAAAAACATGGAAGCAACCGAAATGCCCATCAGCAGAAGATTGGATAAGAAAGCTTTGGTTCATCTACTCCATGGAATACTACTCAGCTATTAAAAAAAACAAAATGCAGTTCTTTGTGGCTAAATGGGCACAACTGGAAACTATAATGCTAAGGGAAATGAGCGAATCCCAAAAGATTAGATACCACATGTTTGCCTTGATTTAACCTGTAATTTTTTGTTTGGTTGTTTGTTATTTTTTGAACCTGTCATTGATACTGTCTCAACCCAGATGTTTCGAAGAAGGGAACTTGCATTATTTTTAACATATTGTTTACCCAATACTATGTCAATTAATTCCATAATGTTGTATATTGATACTGAGGCCTTGTTGGGGCTTTTAACTGACCGGATCTTTACTCTGTTAGACCTATCTTCAGACCATAGAAGGTCTCCCCAGGAGGCCACTGAACTTATCTGGACAATAAGACGCTGAACTTTATGCTAGGCATGTGTTTGCAAGCAATGAATCTCAACTGAACTTGAACTATGGTTATGCAACAAGGTGGAGGAATCCACCATGGGGGGAGGGGTATGGGAGGGGTGGGGGGAATCCCCAGCGCCTATAAAACTGTACTACATAATACAATGTAAGCAACAATTAAAAAAAAAAAAGAAAAGAAAAAAGATGAGGGGAAGTAGAAAGAAAATGGTGGGTTGGGTGTGAAATATCTCTATGCTTCAAAATTTGTATTGTTGGGTTCGCACACTTCACAGTTTTTGAAGAAATGCAAGGGGGAAAATCCCATTTGTTCAACCAATGTTTAAAATTCTTTATCAGAATATGTTAAACTATCACCGTCTTCCTTTTAAGGTTGGATATGTCCTTTCTTCTTTTTCCATACATCCTGTTTGTCTGCACTGATTTCTGGTAGATCAGTTAACCCAATCAATTTTAAAAGGTGGCTTGTGGATGATCTGTTTGAGGAGACCAGGACCCGAGGTATAACGATGTTGAGAAAGATTGGGACCCAGGGGATGCAATGCCAGTGAAGCAATGCACACTTTGTTGAACTCAACAGGATATTCTCTAGGCAACCACAGAACCCCCCCTCTAAAGATAGCCAACAAGGAAATGAAGTAACAATCACCATAGAATTAAATTAGTGCACATGTTTCACAGGAACCAATTCTGATGATCAACCAAGTAACTGAGGAAGAGGATACTCTTGGCTCTAAGCAACTAATGAGAAAGGAGGCACTGGAGGGCACCACTTATACCCAGCATGCTTGGCAGGTGCAGCAGCCACAGTCCTGCTCTGGCAGGCAGAGCCAGTAATGTGGACATAGAGAGGGTCTGGGGATAAAGCACCAACAGGAGACCAGTGATGGTAGAAGTCTCCCTGAAGCCTCCCTTTATTCCTCATCTTATACTCTTCCCCGCAAGTTCTTTAGCCAAACAATAGAATGCCAATGAGTTCAATTAGTCTAGGTGCCTTTAGCACAAGCCCATTTCCTGTTACTGCTCAGGTTAAGGAGTGCTATTAACTCCTTATCCCACCATACAATCCCACACAGGAAGTCTGCTTCCTGCTAGGACTGTCAGTCCACTGAGACTATATGAATTCTGGGGTCCTTAGGCATCTGATAGACTGGTTCAGGTCACACCTCAACAGTTGACTGCATGGTAAATGAGTTTATTGATCAGTTGTAATGTCACTATCAATTTGGCTTTAGTTTCAATTGGACACTATACTGATCTTACATCTTATTTTGCTGTTGTCAATGGAAACAATGTAGATCTCTGGTTGCTCAGAGCATGTGCTAGGTGGAGAGAAGTGCTTTCATCATCCCTGTAGCAAGGAACTTTGTCCAAGGTAGGAGTAAGAGTTTGGCAGAAACACAGACCCCCAGCTGCTGCCAATGGATGTCAGAGGTGTAGGTGAATGGAGTGGGTGAAAAAACTCACAGTCTTCATTCGAGAGAGCTAACAGAGATACAGGTTTTGGGCTCACATATTTTGAGAACTCCAAACTTCGCCAGTGAAACTGGGGCCATGGTAGTGGTAACAGTTCTGGGAGTTTGCTAGATGCTCAGCCTCCAGCTACCAACTGAAGAACTGAAGTCATAAGAACAGGGCTAGCACTGGCAGCAGTACAGGTGAACACACCCATAACAATACCAATTAAGAGGATGCAGCCATTGGAGCAGAATTACTACTTGGAATGGGGCAGATATGTGAAGTGGCCACATCTGGTGCGGAATCTAGGAGGGAATCACAGATGTATTGCTCATGAGTCCCAGTGTGCTGGGCCATGACATTAAGAAAAAGTGACCTAATGACGAGGAGAGGAAGGGTGCAAATAACTGGCCTTACTGGGTTCTGAGTAACCATTGTGGGCCTCTTGAATTTAGGGTTGTCAGAGTATGATGCTTAGACAGAGGTCTTTGTTGAGGCTCTGCTCTTTTCCCTTTTCCCTGAAATTGGGATTCCCCAACCCTGGAGCTGCATTGCACTTTGATTTTATCTTTGTTTCTATCACTAAGCTGACATCAGAGGATTTTATAATGGTTTCATGTTGGGTTCATGTGCTTTCTCAGGTATGTGTTCTAAAATCCAAATCCCTAGTTGATATTTTGCTTTTTCCCCATGGAAGAATAGGTTAATCCCACTCTTGCTCTTTAATTATCTTACTACCACACCTTGTAATCTTTAGAAATAATGATTAACAATTTTACAGTTCAGTATCAGCAAATTTTAATTTTTTTTCTATGTAGAAACTGAAGTTCTGGGATTTGGAGAGATACCTCAGCAGGGTACACTACCATCACATTATGCTTAAGGTAGATACTGCCAGAATGACTTGCTTTTGTTTGTTTGTTCTTTCAGATTTATTTATTTTTTGGAAGATCTTCCATCCAATGATTCAACCCCACAACTGGCCGCAACAGCTGGAGCTGAGCCAATCTGAAGCCAGGACACAGGAAATTCCTCCAGGTCTCCCCCATGGGTACAGGGTCCCAAGGCTTTAGGCCATCCTCAATTGTTTTCCCAGGAGACAAGCAGGGAGCTGGATGGGAAGTGAGGCTGCCAGGACTTCAGCTGGCACCCTCATTGAATCTTTGCGCATTCAATGCAAGGCTTTTAACCTCAATGTTATCATGCCAGGCCCATGACTTGGTTTTTATCTTTCCTTGATAACAGGGCTGAAGGAGATTTTTGTCAAAATTTACCATTGGTGAAGTTTCTCAGTTCTTTCAATTTTCCATAGTAACACTTAGCAGTGAAATATACTTTATTTGCTTTGTTGTGGAACCGTAAACAAATAATTTGCTCTGCAAAACAAAATGTCCCTTTCCCCTCTGCTTTATCTAGTCCACAATGTATTTATCAGTAAACTTGCATGATTATTAACTTTGTAATTTGAATAACAAATCTAAAATCATTGATTTGCATAAGATTAGTAAATACCATGCAATTTGAATGTAGAATTTAAAATTCACATCACCTTGTCAACTGCAAAGACCTGGGGATTTGGTATCAAAAGTAGCTTCATAAAGAGTACAATGGAAAACAATTTGCTTAATTATACGAGGAAAAATAAGGCGCAGAAATTTCCATTAGTGAAGAAATGTGAAGTGAGAGGGGCACATATGCTTTGTTAATGACAGTTTTCAAACAAAAATTGAGATGTAACTTAAAAATGCAACTAAAATGCTGTGTATTTATGCTAGACATAATTATGTAAATTCTTATTATTTAATTGAAGAAAATTTCACGTTTAGAGTGTTTCATCAATTTGTTAAGATTTTTAACATACCAATCACATTATGCAGAAGAGCTATTATTCTTTTATCAGAACTAATAAGCACCAAAGGACTGACAGTGGCATAGACATTTCCCACCAGTCTCTGGATGTCCAGGACAACCTGATCATATTTACGCAATATGATTGAGAAGGATGAGATGATGATATCCAAACAGTACATAATCACAAAGAAACTCACCAGCACTAGGACAGTATGAGTGGCCCTTTTGGCTGGGGAGCTTCTTGGGGAAATGCTCATGCTGTGAAGGTACTCAGACTTCCTCTGATGGCTACATAAGAAAATGACCATGTGCATGCTGGAGAGCAGCATGAGCCCTACAAAGAAGACATTCTGGGACAAGATAAGCATGATATATAGTGCCATGATGATGGAGTTCACTGAGGAGAGTGAGCAATACTTAGTGACATTTAGTAGATTAGTTTTGTTAGGATGAACTACAGTATAAATGATTATGTTACTATTGGAAAACAGGTTAAGGCACCAAAAAGAGAACAAAGCAATGATAATATAATATGTCAGTTGATGTTTAAATCTTGACAAATAGAAGGAGCTTGGACTGATGGTGATGACCTGAATAATACTTAAGAGACAGGTGGTGGAGATGGAGAGACCCCTAGCCACTCTACTCACGTACAGCACAAGCTTACATTTCAATTCATTTACAAAAGTCAAGAAACTGAACATGTCTTCAGATAAAATATCCAGTGTAGTAAGGAGCATCACTATGTGAACAAAAGCCAGGTGACAGGTGGTTATATCAGTGGGCCTTGGCTTATGGACCTGGTGGATTGTGATGATGTGGAAGACAAGAAGGAAGACATTAGCTAAGATTCCAATGCCAGCTTGGACAAAATACACATTTTTTAGAAACATTAGTGGTAACTTGTTCATCTCAGCTTACTGAATGTGTTTTAAATACCTATAAAACAAAACACAGATCTTTTTGTTATGAAAGCCACCAGAAATCATCATTTATTTCACCTACTGATTTATAATGAGCCCTAAATTAATAGGATTTCCTGAAAACTAATCTTCTGCAGGTTTTCTGCAACAAATGACTTTTGTCTCCTTGGAATACCTTGAAAACTCCACAACACAAAATCTCATTTTTAATATCCCACACCTAAACTTTTTGACATATATTCTGAACACACATGTAAGTAACTCATAATCAATAATGACTGGCAGAAAACATGCATTCCTCTGTAACCACAAGACATGAATGAATTAACAAAGCACATACTGCATTGCTGATGAAATGGTGAATTTTATTCAAAGCTTCAAACTCGTTATCAAAATCATTGGTGTATGAGAATTGATAACAACTTGCTTCATAAACACGGACGTGCACCCTCAGCACAGCATGGATTCAGGACAAAACTAAGTGATTGACTATTGACATTTTTGGAGAATCATAATAATTCAATTTCAGCAATATATTTAAGCCTGGAATAGATCAGGGCAATCATTAGTTACCTATGAATAAACTTTTATTGGCTTTTTTCATATATGATGAGCCATTCAATGAAAATAAAATAATTACATAAAGCAGTCTGAATATGAGTTCTAGTATTTTCTTCTATCATTTCAATATTTGGCTAATTCTCTATATCAGGGCCCTCATTCTATACATGTCCACTAAGTCCTGAAGCAAATTTGATTCAATAGATCATCAAATGCTTTTCTTTTCCTTGATACTCTTTTCTTGATAGTCTTTCCTTGAGACTCTTGATAGTATACAAATCAGTGATGAGAGATCTGGTTACTATGATTGAACATTGTCAGGTGACATAACATATTCACATAATTTCTGTTGAAAGTTGCCTTAATCCTCATAATCTAGCAACTGATACTTCTTTATATCATTTATCATATGTATAAACCTCAAAATACCATTTATTAATTATTTTAGCTTTAAGGGTAATTGTGTATCCTATATTTTCTGTGTGAAAATATAGTGGCCTCATGGAAGAACCATTGAATCTGTAATAAATACTGCTTATCTCAAATACCTGAGATACAAGAAAATTTGGCTTGGTTGCCTATAGTTTAATTATTATATAAGTCAGGATTTGTATCTTCTTGGTACAAAGTAAACATTTCTAAAATGTGAATGTGCATATCAATTTTCACTGCAACAAGTGACAACCTGGGGTTTATGAGGCTGAAGTTGATGCCCCAGGGAACTCTCAGGTGAAAGAAATTATGGAGAACGTTCAATTGATTTATTCTTTCATATTAAACTCCAAAAATTATGTAATCATAGATTATGATGAAGAACACCTCAATTAAGTGGTCCAGGAACCAAAAGACCAAGGATGAAATCCCTGAGCTTGAACTAGACATGTACATAAAACAGTAGGTGTAATAACAGTGAGAAACTTTCTGTAAAAACTCACTGACTAGTTTGTACAGAAAAAAATATTTTTACATGATTCTTTCAAAAAGAGAACAAACACAAGTATGAAAATCAATGCAGAGAAAGAGACAGAGACAGAAGAGGCGCAGAGATGGAGAGACAGAATCTTCCATCTAATAGTTCACTCCTATAAATGTCAACAAAAGTTGTGGCTGATCCTGGCCAAAATTATAGCTGAGGAACTCCACTGGGTCTCCCATGTGTATAGGAGGTCCGAGTACTTTAGCCCTCAATACTGCTTCTCAAGTGCATTAACAACAGGGAATTGAATCAGGAACATGAAAAACCAGAACTTGAATTTATATTCAAATTGGATGTTGGTGTCTAAAGTAACTTAAACCACAATGATTATCCCCAAAATGATAAATATAAACCATCTTTTCCCCTCTTGATTACAGTATCAATTATTAAAGTGTTGTACTGAGTGATATCTCATAATATTATTTTATGAATGAATATACAATGATACTTGCATTCCATGTAGACTTAAGTGTATTGGCATATATGACAAAATATATTATTTTCATAATATCTAATGAGAAGTGATATCTTTCTCGTAAGTTTGACCATATTTCTTGAGTAGCATTTAACATACACGACATCATTCATAAAATTGAAATGGAATGAGAATTCGGATGAAAAGATACATGTGAGCCTGAGTATAGTCTTTATAGATGGAACTGAATCATCTGGCTGAATCAAGCAGATAAATATCTTTTCTAACATGATTAGGTCCATCCAAGTATATTTTTAATAAAATGGACAAATTCCAGAACAGTAGCTAAGGCAAGCCCCTAAAGGAATCTTATTATAGCAATGTTTCATCAATGTTTTGGATGCAGATTTTAATGCAGCTGAAATACAGATGCATTATCTCAAACATTTAATCCCCACCACCAGTGAGAAAGTATTAAATAAGAAAATTCTCAGTGAAGAGACAAGAGATGAAAACTACAGGGGATTATAGGAAATCATAAACATGATCAGGGGATGCCCAAAAATTCTCCCTAAAAGTGCATTTTAAAACCATCAGAATCAAGTAGAAACCAGGACAGTATAAAATTGTGTTAAGGGCTAATCACGCATCTACCTGTGTATTACTCCTGTAAGGAAGTTAATAGCCCCCACCTAATCCTACCAAATGGTGAATTTTGTATAAAAATGAGTAATTTGCTCTGTGCTTCTTTTTCTCCAATCAAGCCCATTGTGTCCAGGGCACTTGATTTGCACCTTCCTTAATCCATGAATGCAAAGTTCTAAAATGAAAAATATAGAACTTCATGATCAATGGTATGAGGAAACATCAGCAGACATTCTGTGTGTTACATATCCCCAGTGTTTATACCTGTGCAGCCTTAAAGTGGATGATCCCTCAGCATGCTGCATTTTATTCACAGCAGTTTCATATGTGTTCACTGCTTTTCCTCCATTTTAAATATGCATAAATGCTAGAATACCATTGTTAAGCAAATTAGAACATTCTAGTGAGGAGCCTCTGATATCTTTGCAACTAAATTGAAATTGAAAATGTGTTTTTTATACACAAGTCTTTAAGATGAAATGTAAGTTAAAACTTTTAAAGGGGAAGAGGAATATTAGTGGTGTTGATCATTTTTCTATCACATTCCCATTATGTATTATAAGTTATTTCTCTCAATTTTGTAAAAAAAATTCAATATTATCAATATTACAAGTTGGTTGATTTTGAAAGCTAAATACTAAAACAATTTACTTGAAGAGAACATTTGAAGGGCAGATGCACCAGCTCAACTGGTTAATCTATGCATATATCCACATCTCAATCGGTGCCAGTGTGTGTCCCAGATGCTCTACTTCCCTTATAGCTCCATGCTTACAGCCTGAGTAAAGCAGCAGAGGATGGGCCAAAGCTTTGGAATTCTACTCCCAGAGGGAAACTCGGAAGAATCTCCTGGCTTCTGGCTTCAGGTCAGCTCAGCTTCAAACGTTTGACCATTTAGAGGCTAGAAATCTTTCTTTCAGGGTTGCTTCTGTCTATAATTTGCTTTTGCAATAATAAAAAATAAATCTTATAAACAGGAAGTATTTGATCTTATGCTGTTTATTGTGGTGCAACTTTCATCTAAACTAATAATTTAAAAATATTTTGTGTATAATAGGAGACAATACGGATATTTTATGACTGAAAAATATGTTATCAACATATACTGTAAGAGAAATTTACATGGCTGCTTGCTAAAAAGTATTAATAATTATTAAGGACATTTGTATGGCTTTCACTATGAAGTGAAAAGTAATGAAGCATTCTAAACTATCTTGAATTTTTTCTAAATTTTGGAGAACAAAGTAAATACCAGCAAAGCATAGCTGAATCAGTTCAGATTTAATCCATTTAATTAGGTAAAATTTAAGTTAAATAAATATGTTAAATTGAAGCTATATTAGAATAATGAAAATGTAACACAGTTAATTTAAATCTGTAACAAAATGCGTGTATATTTTAAATGATTCAATTGGTTAGTTATATAATACTTTAAATTGAATATTTCATTCATGTACGACTGAAGCAAAGAACAGATAATTTCCTAACATTTCCCTGAAAAATGCCATGCTTCATTACAGAACTCACCTGCTCTTGGAGAATTCTGAACCTGACACAGAGAAAGACATTCTAGCAGCAAAGCCTCTGTTGCGAATACATTGTGAGATGAATCCTCAAGATGTGCTTATAGGGAATTGATGACCCCAGTTCATCTCCCGCCAGACCCTTAACTGTCATTTCAATTGTAGAAGCATCAGACTTGTCCTTGGCATCCTTAGAATAATAGCCACCCCAAGGAAAAAGTAAACTTCCTGGATTTCTGAGAAGCCACCTAGAGCAGCTGGGTTTGACTCTTCTCACCTGTGGACTGATTTCTCCAAGGCAGCCTTGCCTGGGCATGTTGTCTGCTCTCAGTCCTTACCAATAGAGCATAGGAAAATAATAAACTTAATTTCAGGACATGTACAAGCCACAGATGGCTTGTCAAAATATCCCCACTGCACAATATGACCTGTGGTGACATCCCGACGGGTCCTCTTGTGGGTCAACTCCTCAGTGAAACAGCGAAGAATTTGCTAATCAGGAAACTATTCAGTCCCAATCCTACTTGGGAAAAGTAATATCTTACTTCCAGGGGACACATCTCTAAACCTGGATGTCCTCATTGGTAGCAGAACATGGGCTATATCTCCCCTGCTTTACTCTAGTCGTGAATGCATTTCTGAAGGCTAAGGTCAGAACAGAGAACATGGTCAATATTTTTGAAGATGTCACACCCAGTCTCCTGTATCGTGACAACTCTCCCTCAGTCCCCTCTGCCAGTTTCAATCACAATTCTTTTTCATGCCACATACTGAGAAGTACAGGAACTAGATTCTACCAACTCTATCCACCAGCCACCTCTTTGTTATGAATTGCCTCAAAGTGAGTCCTTAACCTGATTAGAGCAGC